GGAAGTTTCAAAGACTTGCTCCTTAGGTTCAGTTAATTTGCTGGAATAGCTCACAGAACTCAGGGAAACACTTAATTTACATTCACCCGTCTATTAAAGGATATGGTAAAGAACACCAAATCAACAGCCAGAGTTAGAAGCGCACATGGGGAAAGGGCTTGGAGCCTCCGCGCCCTCCCAGGTGCGCCAGTCTCCCCTCTCCACGTCTTCAATCTGGAAGCTCTCCGAATCCAGGCCTTTTGGTTTTTGGGGAGGCTTCGCTGCATCGGTGTGATTGATTAAATCGTTGACTGCTGGTGATTGATTCAACCTCTAGCCCTTCTCCCCTCCTTGGAGACTGGGCAGAAGTGGGGGGGCACTCTCCCATCAACCAGCTGCCCATCTGTAGGTTACCTAAGGGTTTCCTAAAGTTGCCGCATTAACATAACAAAAGATACCTTAATCGCACTTATCAGGGAATTTCCAAGGGTTTTAGGAGCTGTGAGCCAGGAACCCTTGGATGAAGACCAAATACATGTGAGAAATATGTTTTGAACATTTGAATGACCAGATATTTTTACAAATCACAAGACTGAAGCATACACTGAAGACAAATCAAAATCAAAATAAAGATTTCCGACCCCCTAGCAGGTTCCGTTGTGTTTCCTATCACCACTGCCTCCCCCCCCCCCCCCCCCCCGCCCCCCAGGGGCAACTTCTTTTTTTTCTGTTACACCATAAATCTTGCCTTTTTTTTTTTTTTTTTTTAAGCTTAATGTAATTGGAATTCTAAGTAAAGTGTCTGGGGTTATGTGTCAAAGAGTAAAATTCCTTTCTACTTTTAGCTGAATTCTGAATTTTAAGTGTTGAATTCTACCACATTACTTTGTTTCATCTATTAAAATGATTGATTGGCTGTTCTCCATGAATATACTAGTGTGACTTCACAGATAGATTTTTGTGGGTTTTTTGTTAATTTTGGATTGTCCCTTAATTTTTTGGATAAATTTCCTCATCCTAGTGCTATGTGTGTGTGTACAGGCCTTGTTACTTTACTAGTATTTTTATCCAGATATTTTGATCAGAGTTAATAATAAATGAGTTAACACTACAGTCTGTGCTGTACTTGCCTGGTTTTGTCTGTGGGGTTTTGTGTAAGTTTGTGTGATATACTGTGTGGGCATCCCATGGTTTCCTGGCTCAACATCAGTTAGACATTTGGGAATTTTATGTTCTTTCCATGTTGGTAGAACTTACTTAAATGTAGTGTGGGTCCATTGCCTTTCTGGAGAGGGTATACCTTTGTGGGGTTTTTTGGGTTTTTTTTTTTGTTTTATTTTTTTAGTGTGTTTTATTTTTTATTTTTTGAGAGAGACAGAATGCGAGCAGGGGAAGGACAGAGAGAGAGAGGGAGACAGAGAATCCGAAGCAGGCTGTAGGCTCTGAGCTGTCAGCACAGACCCCAATGCAGGGCTTGAACCCACAAATCATGAGATCATGACCTGGGCTGAAGCCGGACACTTAACCAAGTGAGCCACCCAGGTGCCCCAAGAGGGTATGCCTTTGATTGCTATTTATTTATTTGTTTTTTTATTTATTTTAATTTTTTTTTTAAAGATTTTAATGTAACCTCTGTACCCAACATGGGGCTCGAACTCCTAACCCTCAGATCAAGAGTCGCGTGCTCTTCTGACTGAGCCAGCCAGCGCCCCACTACTTATTTTGTGACCATTGATTAGTCAGGCTTGCTTTTTAAATTATTTCTGGGCCAATTTTGGTTACTTTTACTTTTTTAAAACAATTACTTAAATCCACGTTAGTTTACAGATTACTTTTACTTTCTTAGAGGATTTTTGTTTTTAAGTTTTCAAATTTATTGGAACAAATTTGTAAATATAGTTAGGTCTGCCACCATGTTTGCTTTAGAAACGTGAATTCAGCACAGTTGGTACCGTAGGGAACAGCGTGAACTTTCTGTCTGACTTCAGACAGGCCTCTTTCCACTATTTTATGATCAGCTGCAGCCCCTCTGACATCCAAACACCAGGTCTTGCAAAGTGAAGTGCTATATTGTCATTTTATATATTTCTTAAATAAAAGAAATATTTTTATATATTTCATCAATGTTGTCATTTTATATATTTTATGTATTTCATAAAACTTCTGTTTTTGGTAGGTTCCTGGTGTTCATTTTTATGTGTTGCTGACAAAGGTGTTTGTGCCCCAACCCCATTCTCCCCATAATCCCCGTGAGTTTGCTGTGTGACTTAGCATAGTGATGATTTTTTGCAGCGTACCTGTCACATTATGGTAGAATTGCCTCTGTATAATAATCTCATGAATTTAACAATCTCAGAGTTATGGACTGATCATAATAGTTTTCTTTTTTTTAATTCCTGCGTTTCTTGACCAGGCTTGGCCAATAAAAGCTTTTTAAAATAGTTTCTTTGTATTTTATTTTTATTCTCATCAAGCTCAAAATATAGTAAAAAGCTTAAAATAAGCTTCATGGCTTGCCTCCACTCTCTGCTCTGCACCTTTTTTCTTCCATCCTGTGTCCACACTCAGCCATTTTGGTCCCTGTTCACTCTTGTGGCCCTGCCGTAGCTTTTACACAGTCACTTTGGTGTGCGTTGCTTTGGTTTCTCCTCCGTCATAAAGTTGCTGGCTTGATGAGTGGCCTGGGCTTGATCTGGATGCAGGAAGTCACGGCCTCATTTTTCTCCATCACAACCTCAGATATGCCTGTCAACTCTCCCTGTCCTTGGCTCCGGCGGTTGTGTCGGCGAGCATTCGTGATTCTCTGGTCACTTTCAGACATTGGAGAGTCCAGTCTATGCTCTATTCCCGCCTCCTCTTCTCGCCCGACTCAGGCTGCGGAGGAGAGATGGGAGGGCTCATCTCTTTACTCCCACTTCCTGTGGAGGCTCCTCCTGGGTTGGAAGATCAGTTGCTGAGACCAGAGAAGCTCCTGTTGTCAGGTGGTCCGTGCCCAGCACCAACGCGGTTGCTTGGAGCCTGAGACGGGCCCCGCCCTGTATTTCCATGCTGTGAAGCGATTCTCTGTTACTCATCTCTGCAAGTTCCCCCCAGAATTCACTGTCTCTTCCCACTGCAGGGTCTTCCTGCAGGCAGCGCTGTTGGGTTGGGATCTTGTCAAGGGGGATCAAGTTCAGGAATCTTTGGGTGTCACTTCTCCACTGCCCTTGCAGAGTGCTCCAGAATCCTCATCTTTAGGAATTCCCAGAGTGCAATGTACCAGGTTCCTGGTTCACTGAAATCCCTGAACACAGACCAGTTCCTTCTGACTGGGCTCAGTGGACATCCACACTGCCTCTTCCTTCCCGCCCTTCCCCCAGTGGCCTGCTTCAGGGAATTGTGTCCGGCTGCCTCTCCAGCCTCTCGTTCCCCTCGTTTCTTCTCCCTCAGGCATCCTCGCCTTGTTAAAGGGCCGCGTCCTTGCCGTCCTCCTCAGCACCCTTCTCTGTTGGCCGTGTCATACCCACCAGGATGTCATCTGGCTCTGTTCTCACTTGATGCCCAGAACCCAACCACTACTTATTACTCCAGTGCTCTCACTCTGATGCCAGCTACCTTCATCGCTCCCAGATCCAGGACCCTCCCTCCTCCGTGGCAGGGAGAATGCTGTCAGGTGTGAGTCAGATCACTCTGCTCTTGTCTGAGGCCTTCCGACAGCCCCTCCTCTCTTGGAATGGAACCCCAAGACCTTACCATTCCCTTTGAGCCATGCAGGACTGTGTCTTAGTTTTCATGTAGCCTGGAGGGCTCTTCCTGCAGAAATCTTGACATTCCTTCCTACATCGCTTGGGTTTCTGCCAAACGTTGCCTCACCGGAGGGCTCCCTGATCACTCCATCTTCCTATGCCTGCTTCCTGAACTCTGTCCCCTTACCCTGCTTGAGTCTTGGCAGAGCGCTGTCCCCACCTGCTTGGTGGGTAGTTACAGGTTTACTGTCACCTCCCCCTGAAGGAACAGAAACCCAATGTGCATTGCTGAGCCCCCAGCACCTGGGACAATCCTGGCACTGTCGGTGACTCATAAATGCTTGTTGAACGATCAGTACTTTTTTGGTCCCATGAAAGGATTTATTACGAGCCTACTGGGTAGTTCGCGCTTACGGCTCACACAGAACTGCCAGCCCACGCCCACCCACAGTGGCTCTCCGTCGTCTTCAGCTCCGCAACACTAGCTCCAGGCCCAGAGGCTGCTGGAGGGAACCCTGCTTGGCCTCAGTAATGGATCCCTTCTTTCTTTAATCAAAAAAAATTTTTAATTTTTTTTTTTTTTTTTTTTTTTTGAGACCGAGCACAAATGGGGGAGGGGCAGAGAGAGAGGGAGACCAAATCTGAAGCAGGATCCAGGCTCTGGGCGGTCAGCAGAGAGTGCGACATGGGGCTCGAACTCACAAACTGTGAAATCACGACCTGAGCCGCTGAAGTTGGATGCTTAACCAATGGAGCCACCCACGTGCTGCTGGGCCCCTTGTTTTTTAATTTATTTATTTATGTATTTATTTATTTAATTTTTTTATGGTGCCAGGCTCTCACTCCCTCTGAGACTCAAGATGGGTTGAGTAGCTGTGAAGATGACGGCTACTTTGGAGGGTAGCCCTTCCCATGTGTTTAGAATTGTTCTCTCCATTCCTGGGCAAAATGTATCCTGGATAATTTTTTTTTATCAAAGGTTTGAAACACCTGTTTCATATGCATGTATAGATGTTTATTTCCCTCTACAAGACTGAAAGCTTCTTGAAGGCGGAAGCTGGTTGTGTTCATCCTGATATTTTCAGGATCAAAAACAGTATTTTGAACATGGAAGCTCAAAAATTTTTTTGTTTTGGTTTGGTTTTATTCTAAAAGCCTGTGCTGAACTGGGCACAGGAGGCAGTCAGTCTATGGAGGAACATTTCTCCTTTCCCAGCTCTTGTACATCTGTCCACATCACCTAATGCAGTGGCATCCGATTGAATGGGATGTATATTATTACAGGGGTTGTTGTCATTCAAGGATATATCTATGGAGTTCACCTGGGATGAGTGGCAGTTACTGGATTCTGCGCAGAAGTACCTGTACAGGGATGTGATACTGGAGAACTATAGCCACCTGGTGTCTGTGGGTAAGTGCAGCTTCTTTGTTGAACTCCGATCACGAATTATAAATTGCCATCCTTTTTTCTTTTCTTTATCTACCCTGAGGTCTCTAAAGTACTTAATGATTATGGACTTGAACTTTGGAGGTCAAAGGCTCCTAGTCCCTATTTGGCCCTCATCTCCTAATTGTAATCTTCCCCCCAAGTGCAAGTGAGCAGTTTCACTTTGTAGTTCCAGACCCCTGAGTTCCTAGCGGCTCGGCCCACATCCTCTGATTTTCCATCAACAGGGTATCATGGTACCAAACCTGATTTAATCTTCAAGTTGGAGCAAGGAGAGGAGCCATGGATAATAAATGCCAAAGTTTCCCGTCAGAGCTGTCCAGGTGGGTGAGTGGGAACCAGGAAGATGTGGGTGGGGGTGTGAAGCACAGCTTGCACTTAGGCCGTGTTGTGCAGAAACTTTCCTTTGAAGCCCTTGAACCATGGGGGGCACTCGGGATGGGCCCACAAGCTAGCTCCTCAGGAAAGGAAGGGACCATTGCTCTGTCCACGTGTGGGTTTTTGTCTCTTAGCTCTGAGGGGCAGGCATGCCCTTCCTATCTGCACTCTGCTCAGATGCTTTCTGGGTTAGTTTCCTTCCCCCCATGGTCCAGGGCCGCCTCAGCCATCCCAGCCTCTGAACAGTCCTCTCTCCTCTCCTTTTGTGTGACTTCATGCCCTCTGCTCTCCTTATGTGTACTTCCTCTCTTCCTTCCACAGATAAAGCCCTCAGTCTTTTCGTCCTTTGCTCAGCATCATTGTATTGCGTTATTTCAGTGCTTCCTTTTCTCAAACTGGTCACCTTGATTACAACTGTTGCTTTCTTGGGCACTTTTCTTAAAAGGATTCCAAAACCTACCACGGACTCACCTGTGTCATTAAGTGATTTTGTCACCTTACATTTCCTGGCTCCTTCCTCTTCCCTTCGGAGTCATACAGAGTCTCCCAAATTTACCTGTTCTTTCCTGCCGATATTGTAACGACTGAAAGTCTCTTGCACTCTGAGGATTTAAGCTTTCTTTCCCCCGTGTTGTAGCATCCTGTGGACATCCTTGTCCTCTTTCTTCCGCCCTCTCTTCCTGGCTGTAAATGCTCATAAGAGAGCCGGGCTTCCTCACTCATTCTCAGCAGCAGAACTGGGAAGGAACGCTTCCTCTGTGCCTTCCTCTCTTTGATTACTGCTGCTGTTGCACTTGAACTACCACGACCCGGCTCTGCAGGCTCTCCTTGGGTGCCCCGTCTCCCTTCTCCTTTGCTAATATCAGTTCTGCCTCTGTTTTTGCTAGTAGCTTAACCTTTGGTGGTGTCTCTATAGCTCCTATGTCCTCAGTTGTCACCCAGACAGGATCAGTATTTTCCCAGGCGTGGACAGCTCAGATTCTTAGCCATATTTGAGAACTCTAGTCTTTTCTTCAGCTGTTCCTGCTGTAGTTATTTTCATAAACGTCCCTGTCACTAGTTTGAGGAAATACACAAGTATCTTACATCCCAGATTCAATCTGAGTAAACATTAAAGAATTTATAGTTTCAAGTGACTCTTGTCTGGCACCGGATGGCAGCTCCACAGTGGCTCAGTGCAGAAGCTCGGTGATGTCAGGGACCAACGTGCCACGTGTGTCCCTTTTCTCACCCTCAGATGTTATACTTTTCTTCTGCCCAGGTGGGTACCTTCATGCCGGGCATCACATGAAGACACAGTCACTGGATAAGCCCTGGTTTTTTCCAGAAAATCCCTTTCATCAGTCCCCAGAATTTTTCTCAAAGCCTGCCAGCATGTTTTCTTACAGTTGACATGGCAGTGTCTGAACTAGCTGGGGGGCGGGGGCGGGGTGGCAGAGCTTGGTGGAGCACCACGTGGACCCTGTCCTCCCCGGTCAGGGCTGGTGCTCGGGAGGAGGGCAGTACCGTTGGGAGTGTAGTGAACAGTGTGTGCTGGAGTCCTGCCTCTGGGTTTTCATCACACTGGCCTTCTTGCCACCTGGACGCCTTTAAATGCGTGAATGTGAACATGAAACACGGTCATCGCTTCTCCGGGGAGCGGTACGTGTTCTTGTCCTGGACCTGAGTCCAGTCCCAAGTCCAGAATTTCTTGAGATGTGTGTGGTATCAGCAGACAGGTGTGGCTGTGGCCTCACGATCTGAAGTGATGGGGTGAAAAGATCGACGGTCTGTTCCAGACACATGCAGTAGTGGGGAAGGAACTGGAAGCTATGGTGAAAGCTTCTCTTTCCAGAGGGGTGGATGAGGGATGGCAGTCATCACTGGTCTGTCACACACTCTCCTCCTTGGGAAAAAGAAGTCAAGGAAGACTTCTTGCCCTGGCATTGGTGTAATTTCCCTGTTCAGTCTTCTCTTTTTGTCCTGTGCAGCCCCTGGTGAGATAAGGCTTGGGGAGAATGGCCCGTGTCTGTTGGTGCAGATTTGGGGGTATTTAGGGCTAAAAAATCATAGGCTGTTATCAGATCAGGCTCAGGTTCCCTTCAAAACTTTGCAAGTTTCCGGTTAGTTTTTTTTTTTTTTCCCCCTGACTAATTCTGTTAAGCCAGTAACAACAACCAAAAATTGTCCGGACATGTCTTCAAGCCTGAGAAGTCCTCTCTTCTAGCCATTGGTCTTGGTATTATCACCCCATCCCCCCATTCTTGAGTTTAGTGGGCCCGCTTTGAGGTACAAACCATACTCCAAATTGTTTCCACGTGAACAGGGAGAGAGGGTTTAGCGGGAGGTCCTCAGGAAGCAGGAGGGCTCCTGATGATTCCACAGTGTGAAGCTGTCGTGGGATGATGAGGCTGTACCCCGATGAGTGCTCGACCCACACCTGCCACTTCTTTCCAGGCGCCCTGTGTGGACATCACACTCACCATGGTGTGATTGGGCCTCATCGCTGTGCGGCCTTCAGTGTCATCCGCTCCAGGGCTGTTTTGGTACCCCTGCCCTGGAGCGGATGGACAGGGGGTCCTGTCCATCACAGCATGGAGATCAGCCCCCTCTTTACTGAGCACTGATCTGTGGTCTGTGTGCCTGCTTACTGTCTTCATTTGGATATTTGACTGGGATCTCAAGTGTAGTAAGATTCAAAACAAAGTCCTTCGTTTTTCCTCCAAACATGGGTCTCTCAGTGTTTTCCCTCTGCAAGGGCAGCACCCTGTTTCTCAAGCCTACAATCTGGAGTTAGTAAAGCGTCCCCTTCTCAGCTTCTCCTCCATCTAGTCCTTTGGTAGGTTTTCTTGGTTCTGTGTCTGTGTATGTTCTACATTTGCTCAGCTCCAGAGTTCAGTCTGAGCCACTATCAACGTCTTCCTGCCTTACTACAGCGGCTTTCTCGTTGGTCTGTCAGCCCTTCTCTTCATTTTTTACTTCACAGCCAAACATCTTTTAAAAGCATGACATGAAAGGGGGGCCTGGGTAGCTCAGTCAGTTAAGTGTCCAACTGGTAATTTCAGCTCAGGTCATGATCTCAGGGTCATGAGATTGAGGCCTGTGTCATGTGGAGGATTCTCTCTCCCTCTCTCCCCCCTATCCTCTCCCCTCTGCCCTTCCCCCACTCTCACACATGCTCTCTCCCCCAAAAAATGTTTCAAAAAATGTTTTCTGAAAAAAAAAAAAAAAAGAACAGGGGTGAGTCGGTTAAGCATCCAACTCTTGATTTCGGCTCAGGTCATGATCTCACGGTTCGTGGGTTCGAGCCCCACATCAGGCTCTGTGCTGACAGCTCAGAGCCTTCTTTGGATTCCGTGTCTCCCTCTTTCTCTGTCCCTCCCCCACATGCACACTCTCTCTCTGTCTCTCATAGATACATGTACTTAAAAGCAGAACACGAATCAAGATGTCCTCTAATTAAAACCCCTTGGTAAGATGAAAACTTTTTATCATGGCCTTGCCTGTTTGGTTCCTGCCTCACTCTATTCATTCAGTGGGCTTTAACTATCCTGACCTTTTTCTATTTCTTTTTTTTTTTTTTTTTTTTTTTTTTTTTTTTAATTTTTATTTAAAGTAAGCACATGCAACATGGGGCTTGAACTCACAACCCTGAGATCAAGAGTCTCATGCTCTACTGACTGAGACAGCCAGGTGCCCCATTTTTTCTGTTCCTTAACTATGCCAAGCAGGTTCCCTTCTCAAGAACTTTGTATGTGCTTTTCCTTCGGTTTGAAATGCTCTTGCTTTAATTTTCGTGTGGCTGACTCAATCTTCTATTTTTTTTAATTTTCACTTTTTTAAAATATTTATTTTTGAAAGAGAGAGTGTAAGTGGGGGAGGGGCAGGAAGAGAGGGGGACAGAGGATCTGAAATGGGCTCTGCGCTGACAGCAGAGAGTCTGACACAGGGCTCCAACTCATGAACTGTGAGATCATGACCTGGGCCCAAGCTGGACACTCAACCACCCAGGGGCCCTGCTAACTCAGTCTTTTAGTGTCTCGTTGTACCTGTCTGAATATTATACCCTAGTTACTCTGTATTGTCTCAGTTCACTCTTTGAATAATAAGCATCTGTAATAATGACATTTCGATATCAGATAAATGACATTGGCTCCTAAGTGCAGGCTAAGCTTTGTAAGCCTCTGTTTTAAAAGCCATTTTGGGGGCACCTGGGTGGCTCAGTCGGTTAAGTGTCTGACCCTTGGTTTTGGCTCAGGTCGTGATCTCGAGGTTCATGAATTTGAGCCCCACGTTGGGCTCTGCATTGACAGTGCAGAGCCTGCTTGGGATTCTTTTCCCTCTCTCTGCCCCTCCCCTGCTCACCTGCTCATGTACTCTCTCTCTCTCTCAAAACAAATAAACTTAAAAAACCATTTTTAATCACTGCTAATTTGCCACCCGTATTTCCGTAATGGGCTTGGTTTGACGTCGTTCCTCGTGCTCCCCAGCTCAGAAAGAAGGCATGTACACTTGGCCAGTATTTCTTTCGAACCAGTGTCTGAGGTCTGTTATCAAAAAAAGACTCATTTCGTGGCAGTTTTAAAACTAATTTGATATCAGCTACATGTGATGATTAAAAATATATATATGTATTTTTTTCTTAGAAGATTGGAAAGAATGGTACCAGAAAAATCCAGATGAGCTTGAAAATGTTGAGAGAACTTATGCTTGTAGTGCATTTGGAAAACTTAATCTGAGCAGAACCCATGTTTCTTCAAGACAGAGAATCCATAAGTATAACACACATGGAAGAAGTTTGACACAAAACTCAGGTTCAACCAGAAACTGTCTGAGAAAAAATCCTGATAAGTTTCATGGATACGAAGAATCATATTTTCTTAAGCATCAAAGAGCTCACAGTATAGAAAAAAACTGTGTGTGTAACGAATGTGGGAAAGCTTTTCGTTGTAAATCACAGCTGATCGTCCATCTGAGAATTCATACGGGAGAGAGGCCTTACGAATGCACGAAATGTGAAAGGGCGTTCAGTGCGAAGTCAAACCTCAATGCTCACCAGAGAGTCCACACGGGAGAGAAGCCCTACTCCTGCAGCGAGTGCGGGAAAGTTTTCTCTTTCAGGTCACAGCTCATCGTCCATCAGGAAATTCACACGGGAGGGAAACCTTACGGCTGCAGTGATTGTGGGAAAGCCTATAGCTGGAAATCACAGCTCATTTTACACCAGAGAAGCCACACAGGAGTGAAACCTTATGAATGTGGCGAGTGTGGGAAAGCCTTTAGTTTGAAGTCCCCGTTCGTTGTACACCAGAGGACTCACACGGGAGTGAAGCCCCATAAGTGCAGCGAATGTGGGAAAGCCTTTAGGAGCAAGTCCTACCTCCTGGTTCACGTCAGGATGCACACAGGCGAGAAACCTTACCAGTGCGGTGATTGTGGGAAAGCCTTCAATATGAAGACACAACTTGTTGTTCACCAGGGAATCCACACAGGAAACAATCCTTATCAGTGCGGTGAATGCGGGAAAGCCTTCGGTAGGAAGGAGCAGCTCACTGCGCATCTGAGAGCACATGCAGGGGAGAAGCCCTACGGGTGCAGTGAGTGTGGGAAGGCTTTCAGCAGTAAATCCTACCTCGTTATACACAGGAGAACACACACAGGAGAGAGACCCTATGAGTGTAGTTTCTGTGAGAGAGCCTTTTGTGGGAAATCACAGCTAATTATACACCAGAGGACTCACTCAACAGAGAAGCCCTATGAATGCAGCGAATGTGAGAAAGCCTATCCTAGGAAGGCTTCACTTCAGATACACCAGAAGACTCATTCAGGAGAGAAACCTTTTAAATGTAGTGAATGTGGGAAGGCTTTCACCCAGAAGTCGTCCCTCAGTGAACATCAGAGAGTTCATACAGGAGAGAAACCGTGGAAATGCTCCGAATGCGGGAAGTCCTTCTGTTGGAATTCAGGGCTTCGTATACATCGAAAAACTCACAAGTGAGAAATTGAAGTGAAGTAGATGTTAGAAACTCTCTCATAGAAGTTGATCCTCAGGAGACTAAATGATAATATGGGTGGGATGCATTAAGCAGGAAGTCCTAAAAATACACTCCTGCCGATTGAGTCCGAGAGAGACGGTCGTATTTGGAAGAATGGGCAAAAGCTTTGAGAAGTAAGTCCTACAAGTCTCTGTAGACAAGAACTGAAGGAGTGAGGAACAGTGACATCAGATGCGGTGGTGTCATTATGAAGATAAAATTCAGAGAATTCGTATTTAAAACCTTCTAAATTTAATAAATTGGAAAAGCATTGTCCCATAGAAAATGTTATATGTGGAGAGTCACATTCCAGATTTGAAGCTATGTTTTAGATTGAAGAAAACCTCAATTATAAATGGTAGATTTTTTCATGGTGGAGTATAAAGTTGATTTTTATTTTGATATGTAAATAAAGCGGTGGAGGAAAATGGCAAGGAACATATTCTGAGGGTTGAGAGATATTTAGTGTGACTTTCCTGAGTAACACTGAATAGCATTTTTAAAAATTTTTGGTATTTTATTTTTTAACGTAACTTGTTAGACATATATTTGGTAGCTTGTGGAATAACATCCCCCCGATATTCTCCATATTAAATGCTAAATATCAGTATTGTCTCTTCATTTCTTAGCAATATGACAGAAATAATGTGGGTTTTAATAATGAAAAGATACTGCTCCCTAAATGGGTTGACTCACTCACCAATCTACGTAAGTGGGTCTGGCAGTTATTACGCGGCTGCTGCATAAGAGAACTCATTGGAACGAACGTGGATTATATGTTAGCAGTACGGTGTCTGTTCACGGGTAAGAGCACAACTAGTTTTCTCTGCAGAAGCACCTCTCGTGTGCGTTGTCCAGTTGGCGTCTTTCCGGCCATCTGTTCATCAGCCATTGCTGGGTCTTTGCTAGATTTTGAGCCTCAGATTCAGTGTCACATGAACCAGAAGGGAAGTGTGGAAACTCACTTACTCTTGCCCCAGAGTTGAGACCATCAATTCCTCCTGCCCTCCTGGTTTCCCAGAATAACTCTGGGTGCTGTCTCTCTTTGCACCTGCTTTGCTGGCCTGTGTGCTTCCTCCTCTCCGGTAAAAGTGTTTTTTTCTGCTAAAGTTAAAGAGAGTTAATTTTTTTTTAAGTTTATTCATTCATTTTGAGAGAGAGCAGAAGCGCAAGTGGGGAGGGGCAGAAGAGAGGAAAGAGCAAGAATCGCAGGGAGTCTCCACAGTGCCAGTGCAGAGCCTGACATGGAGCTTGAACTCAGGAACCGAGAGATCATGACCTGAGCCAAAGTCAGACACTCAACTGACTGAGCCACCCAGATGCCCTATTTCTTTTCTTCAATATTTATTTATCTTGAGAGAGTGAGAGATTGTGAGTGGGGGAGGGGCAGAGAGCCAGGAAGACAGAATCCCAAGCAGGCTCCACACTCAGCGCAGACCCGGACTTGGGGCTTGAACCCAACGAACCAGGAGATGATGACCTGAGCCGAAATCAAGAGTCGGACAGATGTTTAACGACTGAGCCACCTGGGCGCCTCAAGGAGAGTGAATTTCCGGGGTGCCTGGGTGGCTCAGTCGGTTAAGCGTCCGACTTCAGCTCAGGTCATGATCTCACGGTTTGTGGTTCGAGCCCCACTTCAGGCTCTGTGCTGACAGCTCGGAGCCCGCTTCGGATTCTGTGCCTCCCCCTCTTTCTGCCCCTCCCCCACTCGCGGTCTGGTCTCTCTCTCTTCCTGAGTCAAGAAGAAAATCAGATTCTGTTTACATTCCAGTATGGAAACCTGTTAGCCCATAGTATGAAATAGTGTCCTTGAGGACACCAAGAACCTTGTAACCCCTGATGATTAGATTTTGGGAACACTGAGGGACTGTTGCCAAAGAAGAATTTTTAATTTATGAAGAAATAGACGGGGTGGGGTGGCTACTCCTGGTCATACTAGCCCTTAAGCAGTGACAGACGTGAAGCCCTGAAATCTCTTCTCAAGGAAGAGTATTAACTGTGACATTTGTCTTGCTGAAGTAAGCCGTCCATTTCACGTACTCGCTGATCCCTTATGTAAACAAGTATTGGTCTAGGAAAAGTTGTCTCTTGATGATTTTGTGGTTGATAGCTGACAGGAGCCTGAGGACTCGGCCTAGCAAACTCCTGGCAGACGTCACTAGAGGCTCTAGAAATACGTAGCTTGGATGTTGGAAGCTTACAGCTCACCCGTCACATGCAGCTTGCTGCCTGTATTTGTATGGCTGGCAAGCCAAGAAGTCTTTATGTTTTTAAATGGCTGCAAAAAGATCAAAACTACTTCACGAATTGAAAAAATTATTTGAAATTCAAATTTCAGCATCCATAAATCAAGTTTTGTTGGAACACTGCCAGGCCTAATCGTTTGTGTGTTGTCTGGCGGCTTTTGCACTAACTACAATGGCAGAGCTGTGACAGATACTGTTGCCCAGGAAACCTGCCAACTCCTGATGTAGGGCCCCTTTCCCTCCCTGAAAAAGTGGAAGAGAAAACCTTGCAAGAGCAGGTTTATTCTGCCAACACCCCAGGGCTCAATACTACCAGTTCTGTGCCCAAATCTGTTCTCGTAAGGATCCCAGTCGTTGGCTTAAGTCTCACTCTTGTTATCTAATTTTCACGTGATTATTTCCATAAAGAAACTATTGCTAATTAACTTCACATCCTGAGGTACTGGAGGCGAAGAATCCAATACGCCTTTCTTGAATGGACGCAATTCAAACCATAAATTTGCCCTCTTGCTCCCCCTCACCAAATCTGTGTTCTTTTCATATGCAAAGTACATCCCCCCCCCCCCCCCCCCCCCCCCCCGCCCCAAACCCCCTGAAGGCTTAATTCACCCAGCAAGCAAGGGAGCTCAACTTGAAAGACTCCTCTAAATACCATCTAAATCAGATGTGTGTGAGACTTGGGGTAGCTTTGTCCCGAGGCAACATTTCTCTCCATTTGGGAACACGTGAAATCAGACAAGTTCTCAGCTTCCAATGAACAGTGATCAGACAGGCACAAGATAGACCTTCCCATCCCAAAAGGGAGAAGTCAGGAAAAGGAGTTGTGAGGCCTAAGCAAGTCCAAAATAGGGCAAATTCCATTAGATTTGAAGGCCTGAGAATAGTTCTCCTTGGCTAAATCCTCTGTCTTCTGAGCCCACTGGGGTGGTGGCCCTGCTTCTCATCCTGGATGGCGGCCCCGCCTCTGGAATTGAAAAGGTGGCTTCACCCTCTGGGACCGAGGAGGTGGTTCTGCCCTCAAGGTCGTTCTGACCTGTGTGCACATCTAGATACGTCTATCAGCCTGTTTTTCTGCCTGTAGAACCCCAGACATCCAACGACTTTCCTTCATTTCAACCCGTCTCTGTCCCCGTCAGTCCAAGCTGGTAACATTTCTGCTGAGTCGGTTGATGGATTCAGTCCCACACCTAATATCTCTGCTGTTCTGCCACATCCTTGTTCTCTCCAGAGCGTGCTTTTGCATTTTTTGCAGTATGGGTAAATTGAGGGTCTTCCAAATTTGTTTAACAATTGGTTCTTCAGCGTATCTCTGTCCTCCCAAATTGTACTATTAGCAGCAAGAAGTCGGGCCAGGTCTTTAACGCTCTGCTTAGAAATCTCTTCCGCTAAGCATTCCAGTTCATTGTTTCTAAGTTCTGCTTTTGACAACACACTAGAACACAGTCTAGCCACGTTCTCTGTCACTTCATTACAAAAACCATTTCTTCTCCAATTTCTAGTACCATGTTCCTCACTGTTACCTGACACCAGAAGTACTTTGGACTTCCATGTTTCTACCAACAGCGTCTTCAGAAGGCCCTCCAGGTTTTTCGTACCAGGTGCCATCCTCTGCCAAATCCAAAGCTGCTTCCACATGAAAATATATATTTTTTTATGAGAGTGTGCGAGTGAGTGAGGGGCAGAGAGAGAGAGGGAATCCCACCAGATACAGAGAGAGGGAGAGAGAGTGCAGAGCCCAAGCTGACCTGATGCCGGGCTTGAATTCACCACCCGTGAGATCATGACCTGAGCTGAAGTCGGATGCTTAACTGACTGAGCCACCCAGGTGCCCTGCTTCCATGTTTTAAGGTATTTGCTGCAGCAGCACCCTGCTTTCCAGTGCAGAGACCTTTATTCATTTGCTAGGTTGCCATAACAAAGTCCTTCAAAATGAGTGATTTAAACAACAGACACTTGCTGTGTTATGGGTCCAGAGGTCAGAAGTCTGAAAACGAGGGGCCACAGAGTTGTTCTCTCTGATGCTGAGAAAGAAGAATCTTGTTGCTAGCTGCGCTCTTTGGCTTGTCCATTCCTTGGCCTCTTCACATCATTTTCTCCCTGTGTGTGTCTATATTTGTGTCCAGATTTCTCCTTTTTATATGGATACCAGTCATATAGGCTTAGAGCCCATCCCAATGACCTCACTTAAACATGATTATCTTTGGGACACCTGAGTGGCTCAGTCGGTTGAGCATCCAACTCTTGATTTTGGCTGAGGTCATCATCTCATGGTTCATGGGATAGAGCCTTGCATGGGACTCTGTGCTGATAACCAGGAGCTTACGTGAGGTTCTCTCTTTCTCTCTCTCTGCCCCTCCCCTGCTCTCTCTCTCCCTTTCTCCCAAAATAAATAAACTTTTAAAAAGACAATGATTATCTTTTTTTTTTGGTTTTTTTTTTTTTTTTTTTTTTTTTTTTTTTTTTAATTTATCTTGAGAGAGGGAGAGAGCGAGCAAGCAGGGATACTGAAGCCA